TGCTCTGCGATCCCCTCTTAGGCCTCTGGTGTCAGCCAGAGTTACCAGCTATAGATTTGTTTGCTAGAGTTCAAATGCACAAATGCCCTGATAAATATTAATAGGAACACACACACACAAAGGAAAGGAAAACAACGAAGGAACAGCCACTTACGCTTGTTGTGTTTTTCCTGGGTAAGTGCTTGGGGTTGCAATTTTAAATTGTGTTTTAGAGCGTGTGAGCTTAATTAGATTTAACACATTGGTGAAACTTAAAATAGCAATTCATGCTTTCTGCTAACAGAGATGTCGGTGGCTTATGTGATGGAAAGAATCAGAGTTTCAGGAAGCATCTTTTCAGAGAGAGGGCTGATCCCAGTGCCAGATAGCATGTCAGTTTTTGTCTCTCCAGATGCACTCACCCCTCCTCCCCAGCACTGTGTGCCCTGGAAGACTGTCCAGGGTGCACCCCTGATTCTGGCTTTGCATAGGGTTCAGTGATGGGGAGCAGGAAGACAGCTGGGAGGAGGAGAGAGAGTGGGTGGCACACTGCGTTTGGTTCTTACCCTGTAACTTTGCCCCGGGTGCCTCTGTCCCCTAACCAAATTTTGCAAACTAATGTTTCTCAACTGGGGCCCGTTCCTTCCACCCCCAGAGGACATTTGGCAGTATCTGGGAGCACGTTTGGTTATCACAACTGAGGGACCCCCTGGCATCCAGGGGTAGTGGGCAGGGGTTCTGCCTGCAGTGCCCAGGACAGCCCCTCCCCCATCCTGACCATCCTGAGCTTTAGCCAACTCAGAGAGTCAGTGGCGCTGAGGCCAAGAACCCCTGGAGAGATCACGCTTCTCTAGCTACTCATGGTAAAAGGCTCATTTTGTTTTTGCCCAGGCTGTTGCAGACCAGTGCCCTTGCAACGCAATAATAGAAACAAATTATCACCAAAAATCATCACACACTTGGATGCCAGAAGCCAAGTTGCTGTAAAATGCCTTCACTCCCTCCCTCCCTTCCTCCCTCTCTCCCTCCCTCTTTCCTTCCCTCCCTCCCTCCCTCCTTCCTTCCTTCCTTGGCCAGAGCTGTTTCTAGATGGAGCACCCTAAAGAGGGTATGCTGAGCTCGGACCTTATGGGAGCATGACCAGAGGCAGGAGGTCCATTTGAAGGTTGCTGCATTTATCCAGAATTGGAGCCCCAAGAAAAAGCAAGAGCGGGGAGCTAGAAGGCGAGGAGAAATCCTACCAGCCAGAATGCCAGTGGGAAATAGGCAGGAATAAAGGGGGGCAGGGGTTCCCCTTCCAAGAGCTAGCCTGAAGGGTCAGCCATTGGTCCTGTTGGGCCCCAGGCTGGCCGGCAGGGCTGAGTGGGTCGGAGGTGAGCTGGACTCTATCACAGAGTTAGAGTAGTGCCCACTCCGCATGACCTCTGTGCGGTTGGATCTTTGGCTGCCTGGAGGGGGCAGGCATTTGCTGTGGCTGAGAGTGTGGGCTCTGAAGCCTGGGCCCCAGATATGGGCTAAACTCTACTTTGTCCCCAAGGAAAAGGAAGCACTGCTTAGCTGCCTCTGTTCCTAAATGGGAGTGACAATGACAGAGCTTCCTCTGGTGGGGGTGGGCCTGTGGACTAGCGGTTAAATGAGACAGTGCCGGTCAACTCCCACCCAGGCCTAACACAGCAAACGCTGTCACTGTTACTGGCAGAGGCAGCACTGACTGATGCTGCTGCCTGAAGCCTCTTCTGCAGCCACATTATCTTCTCAATTCCCCTGATGGGATACAAACAGGAGAGAAAAGCCAGGCAGGAGTTCACACGAAGTCTCTGGAGAAGGCGGGAACAGGGCAGTCCTGCGAGACAGCGTGTGCAGCAGTCAGGCCCAGGGGGCTCTGGGGCAGCCTGCCTGGCCCAGATCCCAGCTCTGCCACTCACTCGCTGGCACCCTTGGGCAGGTAGTTAAACCTCTCTCTGCCTCGGGTTCTTATCTGTAAAATCGACAGGGGTAATAGTATCTAACTCACAATAATTGTTATGAGTATCGATCCCTTTAAAGAGCTCGGAGCTATGCCTGGCACAGCGTAAGCCACAGTGTTAGATTTATTTCTTTATTATTGTTGTAAGAAGTCAGTCTATTATTAATAGAGGTACTAGTAGGGTCTGCTTCCCAGCAGGTGGTGGCGAGACACCGAAATAGATTCTGGGCCATAGTTCATCCCCCGCGTCCTGGGACTGGCATGAAGGTTAAAATACAATATTAAATGGGACACCCTGGCCACAGAACAGGGGTCCATAAGCCAGCCAGCCCGCCTCTTCTCAAGTGTCTGTGCCTGCACCTTGTTTCTGCCCCAGGTTGCTGGCAGAGTAGACAGGAGGGACCTGCCTGGGTTCGAAGCTCAGCCCCGCCACGTTAGGCCTGCTCACGGCCACTGCACCTTCCTGCAGAATGTGGACTGTGCAAGTGGCTGCCTCAGAGACGTCTGTAATTGGTAGATGTAGGTCACTCACAACCGAGTCCACACACAGCTGCCGCGGGGGCTTCTCTTACTACTGTCACCGTTTGGAATGACACTGTTCCAGGCTCCTGCTGCTCAACCTACACCGTGAGCCCTGAGTGGGAGGCCCCTGTCCTTGCTCAGTGCAGAGCCTGGGCCCTTGGGGCCCTGTGGACCGCCACTGTGCAGATCCCACGTGGCCTCGTGGGATCTGCACAGTGGCGGTCCACAGGCGCACAGGTCACGGCAGACACACAGCGTTGCTCCAGGGAATAGGCTGGCAGCTCTGCTACTGCCAGAGTGGGCTTTCAGAGGGGGGAAGAAAACTGCCCTCATGTTGGCCACGTAAGGAGCGGGCCAGCCTGCAGACCTGGAGGCTGGTGTCAATGCCCACAGACCCTCTCCTCACAGCCCTCGCTGCGTGAACTGCGCAGACCTCGCTGCGCCGCTGCTGCGCTTCTGTGACACAGGAGCAAGTCCCCGCCCTCACGGGATGGCCACGATGCCCAGCAGGAACCAAAAAAACTTGCGCCTTTTGCCCCAAGCACTGTAGCTCTGGGTGGGTGGGTCTGAAATAGGAGAAGGGGGCTCAGTTTCCCCCATAGTGACTTCCGTAGCTGCAGAGTGGCTCTGGAAGGGAGAGGAGGCATCAGCGCCCGGCTGCCCATGACGGGACATCAATATCTGCCTGTCAGCGCCAGTCCTCTGTGTGGAGCTCCTGGGTGCGAGCTCCACGGTGCAGTATTTCATACTTGAGATCTCAATTAAGCTCCCTGGGCCTGGGGTTAAGACTTTTTTTTTTTTTCAATAAGACATTTATTTATTCATTTATTATTTATTACTTATTTATTTGCTCATTTGTTCATTCATTCGTTTATTTATCTATGTACCTGTTTGTTTATTTATTTATTTATTTATGCATACAAGAGCTGGGGTGCAGGCCAGAGATGTAGGGGTGAGAGGACTCATCAGAGCAGAGGGGGGACAGAACAGGCAGATGTACTGAACTACATTGCTGAGGGGAGCAGTGGGTGAGACAGGAGAGGTCTGCTGTGCCATGTGGGTCAGCTCCCTGGTCGGGGATTGAACTTACGCTGCAGTGGCTACAGAGAGCTGTACTTTAACCCATTGCACCACCACGGATGGCGCAGTTGAGAGATCTTGATGGGCATTGTGGGTGTGGGCACTGGAGACTGGAGGGCTTTCTAGGCTCAGGGCACCTCCAGGCCCAGGAGGATGTGGCAGACTCAGAGTGAAGGGAGGATTTCAGCAGATGGGTTCACGAGGTGGCAGGCCATCATCTCTGAAGACAGCAGAAGACACGGCGTCTGGGCAAGGACCTTGGAGATAAGCGTGGGCATCTGGGTATCCTGACTGTCCAGGCGGGAGTCAGCAGGCAACAGTGGTGGGGCCCAGTGTGGGGAGACTGCTGCCCCCTGACCCCCTCCTGACCCAGAAGAACCAGTCAAGATCTCCAGACCAGAGAAACTCTTTCCCGGGGGGTGTCTCTGGAAAAGGCTGGCCTGCTCTACCAGCACACAGGAATTGCCCCTTCCTCCTTCCAGCCTTCAACCCCACGCTGTTCCCTCACCTCCAGGCAATCCTCTGCCACTGCTGCCTCTGGCTCTGTCCTGCTCAGGCCCTGTTCCTCCAAGGCCCGAGAAACCACGTGCATGGGAATGGCTGGGCTCCAGAGAGGGGACCCTTGCCCATGACTCAGTATGGAGCCTGGCCAACACCCAGAGGTGCTGCAGCACCACCCGTGACTCTGAGGACACCACAGAGGTGAATCGAGCCTCTTGGGGTGGGGCAGGGTGGGGTCACAACCCATCTGACCCTCACCCCCACTTCTCAGAGGCTGATGAGCAGACATGGCAGAAGCGGGGGGTGTGGCGGGTTGTCCCTTTGTTTAATATTTGCTTCTTGAAGCCTTTAACCTGTGTGCTCTCTGTGCCCCGTGCTCCTCCTTTGCTCTCCCCTCTCTGCCTGAGTGCCGTCTCCCTTCTCTGCACCTCCATCGCTAAACTCCTTTCCATGATCTCTTCCTTCCACGCTTCCTCCTCCCTTTCCTCCCTTCCTCCTCCCCTTCGCCTGTGTACTCAACTGCTGTTCCCACACCCTCTGGGTGGGCTCCCTGACCTGATCTCCACGGCCTTGCTCTGCTCATCTTCCCCTTTGGCCTTCCCTGACTCTTTCTCCGCGATTTCCCTTCTCACGCTCTCTGTCTTCTTGCCCGGACACCTCTGCTCACCTCTCCCGGACTCTCACTATCGCCTGGGTCCTCTTTTCATCACTGCCTGCCCCTTTCCGCCTCTCCCGCCACCCCCTCGTCTCTCTTTCTCCATCTCTCCCCTTCCTGTCTCTTCACCTGGCACCCTTTCTTCCTGCTGTTTCTGACTCTGTGTGCTGGTGTCTGTCCACTTCCCCATCTCCCCTGTCTCTGCCATCCCTTCCTGTTCTATTTCTGTCCTGTCCCCCATCACTCCACTGCCCCTCACCACCTCTGCCTCCCTGTGTCTGTCCCCACCCACCCCAGGATGATCCCAGCTTCCAACAAAGCCTTCGTGGTCAACAACCTGGTGTCAGGGACTGGCTATGACCTGTGCGTGCTGGCCATGTGGGATGACACGGCCACGACGCTCACGGCCACCAACATCGTGGGCTGCGCCCAGTTCTTCACCAAGGCCGACTATCCGCAGTGCCAGTCGATGCACAGCCAGATCCTGGGCGGCACCATGATCCTGGTCATCGGCGGCATCATCGTAGCCACGTTGCTGGTCTTCATTGTCATTCTCATGGTGCGCTACAAGGTCTGCAACCACGAGTCCCCGGGCAAGATGGTGGCCGCCACGGTCAGCAACATGCACTCGCAGACCAACGGCTCCCAGCCGCCGCCTCTCACCCTGGCTCCAGGCGGCGTACCCAGCGGGGCCTCGAGCGGCGTCCCTGCGCCAGGGCCGCCCAAGGTGGTGGTCCGCAATGAGCTGGTGGAGTTCAGTGCCAGCCTAGCCCGAGGCAGCGACTCCTCTTCCTCCAGCTCCCTGGGTAGTGGGGAAGCCGCGGGGCTGGGAAGGGGCCCCTGGAGGCTCCCCCACCCCGGCCCCCGGCCCAAACCCAATCTTGACCGCTTGATGGGGGCTTTTGCCTCCCTGGACCTCAAGAGTCAGAGAAAGGAGGAGCTGCTGGACTCTAGGACTCCAGGCGGGAGAGGGTCTGGGACCTCCGCCAGGGGCCAGCCCTCGGACCGAGAGCCACTGCTGGGACCGCCTGCGGCCCGGGCCAGGAGCCTGCTCCCCTTACCCCTGGAGGGCAAGGCCAAACGCAGCCACTCTTTCGACATGGGGGACTTTGCTGCTGCGGCAGCTGGAGGGGTCGCCCCAGGTGGCTACAGCCCCCCTCGGCGGGTCTCGAACATCTGGACAAAACGCAGCCTCTCTGTCAATGGCATGCTCTTGCCTTTTGAGGAGAGTGACTTGGTGGGGGCCCGGGGGACTTTCGGCAGCTCAGAGTGGGTGATGGAGAGCACCGTGTAGGCCTGGGGGATGGGCAGCCTCCCTCCCACCCTTGTAGGATGGAAGAAGGGGAAAGAACCTTTTCTGGCAAGTCTTTGTGGAGTTTCCATGGTGATGTTTACATCCAGGGACAGTTTCATCTCCCTGTCAACAGGCCTCCCCCCGCCCCCCACCACCACCCACACCACCTTCCCAGGCCCGTCCCCCACCACCCATTGGGTGTGCTCAGGGAAAGTGGACTTGATCACTAAAATGTGGGACTGAGCCCTGAGTGTTTGGAAAGGCGGCCTTCTGCCTTTCTAATCACAAATGTAGCGTATAAGCAAGTGGCTTTGGATTGTTTCTGGTTCCATTGTTGTTTTTATTTCCTAATTTATTTTTTCCACTTCCCAGACTCCTCCTCTTCATTCACACAGACGATGGAGAGTTTTTGTGTGAAAACAAAGTGTGTCCCAGCAGTCCTGGTGGTGGATGATTACTGTCAATTGACAAGAGAAGGGAATGATTGTGGTTCCGCACTTGTTTGGGGAAGACGGTGGTGCCTGCTCAGGCCCTTTATATTCCAGAAGCCCCACACCTGGGAGAGACGAGACACCCCCCGAGACTTAGCTGAGGCTCCTTTGCTTCTCAAATAAGACATCCACACCCACCAACTCAGCTAAACCACCAGGGTAGTTTCCAGAATTTCTTATGTGATGGGGGCAAGGAGAGAGAAAGCTTTATGCAGCATAAGCGACCTTAACTTTTGGAATTGCCTGCCTCTTTTTCTGAAATTGGAACTGAAAGTCCCTATGAACATGTGGTGCACTAAGGAGGTTTCTCTTAAGGAAAGCAGGAGGGGGTGGGCAAGAGGAACACAGCACTTGCCAGCAGAACTTAGAGTTTGGGCTCCAGGGGCCACCACTGAAGTGTCAGTTGACACTTGGACAAGATCTGTTCTCTTTGGACCTCAGGCTCCTGGTTCTCAAAATCCTTGGATGGTAGTTAGTCTCCAATTTCCTTTCACTTCTGAAGATTACCGACCTCTCTATGACCCTACATGTTGTGATTTCTGACTCAGCAGTAAAACACAGCTGTCAGAATAGTTCCTGACCTTCCCACTGGACACACAGTAAGACTTCTAGAAGCTTTGGATGGGGGAAGCCGAATGTTTTTAGAATCATAGAGTTTTGAAGCTTGAAGAAATTTTTGTAATCATTTTATCCTCAGTCCTCTCTCCTCTTTGTCCTCAGAGTTTCAGAGACTTGTCCCTAAGGTCACAAAGTGAGTTACAGACCAAGTCTAAGGTGGGGGGAGGTCAAGGCCACCTACCTGCTGAGGGTGGCATATGGCATCCATTACCCTGTCTTCACATTTACAAACCAGGGCATTTCTATGTCTAACTTCCCTGTTTATTCAAGAAAGTGGCTCAGGGTGGAACTTGGGGGAAACCTTCCATGGGCGCCATTCATGAGGAGGATCCAATCATGCAAAAGTGTGACAATGGTGGGGCTCTAGTGCTCCCTTCCATCCAGGGGTTAACCTCATACTCCCAGACAGTGCCAAGAGGGGGCAGAGGAGATGTGGCCAGGGAGAAACTGCTGCAGCTGAACAACATCTCCCTTCATCTCAATCTCTCCTGGTCTCCATCTGTTTCTGGTCTTCCCTCACTGCCAATGCACTACCTCTCCAGCCCCACAGCTCACTGTCTCCTCTCCCAAGCCTCCGCCAGAGATCTGCAGCCTCTGTCTTTCTTATGCTTGCCAATCACACAGCATACAGAGCATACAGGTGAGTCCACTTCAGGCTTAAGAGTTCTGGTGCACTCAGACCTGGGGTCGAGCTGGTCGTCCCCAGCCATACCCAGAGCACACAGGAGCAGATAAGCAATTATCCACAGAGGACTGTCTTCTGGCTTCAGCCCAGGGGCCTTGAATCCCTGGCTTCATCTTTTCCCCCCGTTTCCCTTTTTCTTCCCCCTCTCACTGTGCCTCAACCCTCCTATCTTCATTCTTTTTCTCCTGTGACTCTCTGCCGCCCCTATCTCCTTTCTGATCACAACAAGGTGACTAACAGATCTGGTGAGTCCCTTCCTGGGATCACAAGTTAATTTCCCAGGCCAGCCCCAGTGGCAGAGGCTTCTCTAATCACAGTGGCACCCACAAAACTGGGAACTTGAGAGGAAATCTCTCCCACATGCCCTCTTTCTCTGTCCTCTTCTTTTTCTCTCTGCTCTTTTCCCGTTCAGCCTTTTGAAACATAGCCATTGAAGGAGGGGCCCCAAATACCATTTTTCTTTTTGCCTTTGGGTTCTAACACCCAGAGCAAAAGTGGTGGACATGGAAAGGGAGGACCCACCAGTCTGTTTCCGTCGGTGGCTGCGAGATCTGTTGTGACTTAATATGTACTTGGCTTGTGTTGGTCATGTGTCTGACTTGGACTTTTGGAAAGCAGCATCCCTGTGGTCAGAGCATAAATGCCAATCTTCTCCACTGCTAAAAAAAAAAAAATGTACAGTAAAATGTACAGTTTAAAAAATCAACTACCAACCACACTTCTTGGGAGGGAAAAAAAAAAAAAAAACAATTCTCATGCCTGTGAATGTCTGCTGTTCATTTCTCTGGAAACTGGTTTTCTAAAGGTGCCTTCAGAGTGGCATTTCCCTTGCACCGTGTTTGTTCCTGCCTAGCGGGAGCCTACTTCTTGCCAAGTTCGCATACAGGATGGGACTTCTGAAATAAGAGAATGGGTGTCTTCCTGGAGTAGAGAACGGTAGAAGAGTCTGGAGTCCTAAGGAGGACTAGTATCTCCCCAACACCCCAACACCTTCGCTGCTCCACCTGATACCTCGATACTCTGATGTACCAGCCCTGCCTACTGTGTGTTGGACTGAGGCCACCCCCACACCCATTTGGTTGAGCCCCAGGAAGCACTTTTTCAAAGGGGCCTTAGGGAAGGAGGAACAATCAACCAAGCACAAACCCAAGGTAGAGACACAGGTGAGGAACACAGCTTCCCCACCTCGCCTTCCTCGCTTGTCTAGATCTGCTCTGTCCAATGGGAGTAGAGTAGGAGGCAGGTGGTAATTTACAATTTTCTAGTAGCTTCGTTAAATCAAGTGCAAAGAATCAGGTGACATTTATTTTCATCATGTTTATTTAACCCAATAAATCTACGATAGTGTCACGTCAACCTGTAACATGACAACATGCTTAAGAAGACATTGTTCCTTCTTTTGTATGAAGCTTTGGAATGCTAGAGCATGTTTTAATTTCAGTCACAGTCCATGCAGACTGATGGGGCGAGGACTGATTGGACAGCACTGCTCCAGACAGCCCTTGGCTGCAAGTGTGACTTTGGGCAGGGGACGAGAACTAACAGTTATTGGACACCTGCCATTGCTAGGTACTATGTTTGTGCTTCACCTGTATATCTCACTAAATTCTTACTACAGCTTCTCAAGGGTGATTTAGCAAACAAAAGACTGAACTTCAGAGGGGTCCAGACACTTAGCCACAGTAAGTCTCACTGCAAAGCCTTAACTCTTTCCACGATACTGTGCTGCCTCTCTTTCTTCTTCCTTTCAGCCAGTTAGAAATTATATTTTATATTGATTGAAGTGCTCACATGTATCACCTGATCTGGCAGCACTTGGTTTCACTCAGATCTGATAAACTTCTCCAGGGAACTCCAGTGATTTCTTCTGACCTGTCACTGACCTTTCTGGTCCTTCTTGGCTAGGAAGGTTACCCCACGATTCAGACTGCCTTCCTCCCCCAGGTCACCCTTGTGATTGCCCCTTCTCTTTGCCTGGTGACCTCTAGCTTTAATAGCTTTCTACCTCTACCCTCATCTGGTCTCCTCTGCCCTGAAAGGCTGTAACATCATCCCCTTAATATAGAGAACCCCATCCCAGCTGCTGCCAATGAGACCAAATCCATATTCCTACCTCTCCTAATTTAAAACCCTGGTCCCTATCAGGAGAAACATGTGTCCACCCAGACCTGCTGATGAGAGAGGAAGCCTTCAGCTCTCAGCTCTTTAGTAGAGAACAGATAGCTGATTCACTCTGAGCCTGTTTGAATGATGAAGCGTCCTGACAAACAGGTCAACTCCCTTTCTCCAACTCCTTCATAATGACATACCACTCAGAGGTTCTCTCAAAGGAGATGCTTTTCATTTTGCCATCATTACACTGTTAAAATCCAAAAGAGCTTCAGCTTGCCTTTATTTTTTTTTTTTAAGAGATATCATTTCCAGCCAGGGTAAGAGCAAGGTCATTGTCTCAGATGACCCTCTTCCAAAATGGATGATAACTTTTCACCTCAAGTCTGTGGGTGTTGATTTTCATAAGTACAGTCTGAGTACTTCTGAGTCTTCAGTTCTCTGTCCTCACTGTGTCTGCAGGGAAGATCTCAGGGCTTCTGCAAGCTGGGGGGTTGGGGCTTCCTCTGGTCTTCCTGCCATTGGGCTTTTGAAAACTACTGTTGTACAATAGACTCACTAATTCAAAAGAAAAGACTTTTGGCAGGCGGCAGTCAAAACCTGAACACATAGTTTGAAATATCACATCTCGGTTCTCAAACCCAGCAATGTTCCACATAATGCATTTGGCAGAGAAGTTGGTGGTGACAAGAAGGCTTCTAAAAGGTAAATACATGAGGTTTCTACCTTATGGCCCATACAGGTTGCTCTCCCAACATCTAAGGGGAACACGCTTCACAGTTTAAATTGGTCTATTTGTGAAGTCAACATTTAAACCAAAGATCTTAGTTTCTCAGCTTCCATAATCTCATCTAAGCTTCCCTTCCCTACCTCACAGCCCATTAATGTTTTTGGAAAAGCTCATGGGGTTCCCACTGCCTCCGCCTCCAGCAGAAAGAAACTGACATGTTCCCTATCATACCGCAGAGGGGTGTGGGGACCCCATCATAGACATTCCACATCTTCTGCCAGGTGTGAGGATCTTGCCCTATATGCTCATTCTGGACAATGCTTGGCATCTCGATTCTACTCATTAACTCTAGGGAAATGGGCCCCAATTACAGACTTGTCTGTT